TGAGTAGAACTGTTAATTAGATTTTACCCACAGTCCTGTTTAAAGTGTCTGCTAAGTATGGAAGAACGTTTTCAGGACAAATAGATGATAATCTAGAGATAGATATAAAGATATAAAAATGCATATAGTGAATGCATGCTCAAGTTGCTCAGGTTGGTAAGACACTAGATGGTTTTACTTCTTAAAACAGAGCCAACCAAGCCAGCTGCAAAATTACAGGTGAATTAAATGACTCTAATAACAGGCAGGGTAAAAGTTTAGTAGCTTTCATATATATATATTATTTCCCATATAAGGAAAGAGTCACATTCCTTAGCTTTGCTATGGCATCTTCCTTGTTATGCCTATAAACTCAACCATGTTTATAGAAACAACAGCCCTACTCAGGTAAAGCAATCATTCAAAGAATCTTAGATCCACTAAATGGCTACTCCCTAAAATTATTAAGGGTAACTTGGGGTTGATGCTGCTTGACATTATGCTGTTAGGTGGGGAGTAATCCTTGGCCCTCGTCCTTGAACTGTGTTCCAGGAAGGGTTGGGAATGCTACAAACTTTAAAACCACCAGAGAGAAGGTACAAGGCTTCTCTGAATCACACTGCCAGCAGTAGATGAAGGGCCATCTTACCACTCTTCACAAAGCCCTTCTCAGTCTACCCTTGCTGTAATTCCATGCCTCATACTGGGAAATGTTCTAAGTTCTGAACGTGTGAAGTGTGCCTCACCACAATTGTTGTGACTGAGCCATTCTTTGTCAACCGCCCATCTGAGTCCAACAGTGCTAGTCTGACAGTCCGTCAGTGCACCGTGTAGTAGGTGACTGTTTTCTTCTTTGATGCTAAGTAAGAGTCCTCCATCCCCCACCACCATTCCCCTACCCCCATCCTTCCTTTTCTGTGACCACACCTTACTGGGGAATAAGCATAATCTCTTTAAAATTCTCTGTAGTCTAACAGCTAAGCCTAGATGACTTCTGTACTTTACAGAGGAACAAAAGACAAACTTGTTTGTACTCTGAGCTGTTCTCAAAAGGAAGTCCATGATAAAAGATAGCATAAAGTGCTACAGCAGTACAATAACAGTTTCTACAATTCCGCTTTTTCAATACATTAGGCTCACAGAGACATGGTGAGCTTCATTGGATCCTGCGCAGGAGCAGCTGCCCAGAGCAGGGCTCCAACATATGGTTTTTTTCTCATTTCTGCTTACCCTCCCTCTTCTACTTATTGCTGACCAAACTCAAAGTCTTGTCAACTAATTTCCCAAAGTCACATGATCAACATATCTTGCAAAGAACAACTGCTGAAATCTCACAAGCATCTTCAAATCACAGAGGAATTCTAAAAACAGACAAACGAAAATTATGTCCAAGGCCTAAATGTGAAAGGATCCTTATTTTAAAATGTTTTAGTTCAAAGATGTCCTCAGATCAACGCTCTTAAAGCAGTAATGGTTAGTGTTAACCCGTTACCTTTATGGCTTTAAATAATATTATAAATGCCCAGATTATAAATGCCCAGAAAATTAGCTAAACTGGCATTCAGAAAAACTTTAAACTAAACTGTCACAAGCCGTTAATCTGAGAACTCTTATTTATTTTTTTTATTTTGAATGATTTATTTTTATTTGAAAGGCAAATTTTACAGAGAGAAGGAGAAACATAAAGAGGTCTTTCAGCCATTGGCTCACTCCCCAAATGGCCCCAAAGGCCAGAGCTGAGCTGATCTGAGGCTAGGAACCAGTAGTTTCTTCCAGGTCTCCCACATGAGTGCGGGTCCCACAAACTTGGGCCATCCGCTGCTGCCTTCCAAGCACAGATTTGTATGGAAAGTGGAGCAGCCAAGACATGAACCAGTGACATATGGGATGCTGGTGCTAGCAGGTGGAGATTTAGCTTGCAATGCCACTGTGCCAGCCCCAGCTGATGAGTTTTTAAAAGGCTGAATGTAACTGATTTTTATTTTACGCTTGACATCTGCTTGCTATTTCACTGAGCAAAGTATTATTTTATGATATTTTATATTTATTTGAACTATCAGAAGAATTCCTTCTGCAAATTTATTTAAGCAACTCCCGCCAATCATTTAATCAATCAATCAACAGAAGACAAACTGGCCCGGGTTTTTGGCTCAGTGATAAACATAATGCTTGGGCTCTAGCACATGTTAGTTCTTAGCTTTCAGTTCCTAATTCCCACTCCGACTTCAGCTTCCTGCTAGTGGGTACCCTGGGAGGCAGCAGGTGGTGACTTAGGTAGCTGAGTCCCAGTTGTCACTTTAGAGGCCCAGGTTGATTTCTGGAGTTCTGTTTTTGGCCTGATCTCATCCTGATTGTATGAACTTGGAAGAATAAACCAGTTGATGGAAAATCTCTCTTTGTGTCTCTCCCCACCACCTTCTCCTCTCTCTCCTCAAATAAACAAAAATTAAGTATTCCTTACAAACATATAAAAATAAATAGCAATTGAGTCTGCTTTTGAGCTATCTTCAACATGAAATACCATTTTACTATTTGTAACTCATAATAAAAGTGGCTATTCCTATTTTCTACAGTTGCAATGATGACAATTTGATAATAAAAAATTTTGTTGATGTAGTTCAAGTTAGATATTGCTTTTGTAAATTGTTCCTTTCAGTTAAACCTTTGCTGAAGTTCATGAACTTTAGTTAAGAGAGAGAGAGGGAAAAAAAACGTTCTTGACTGAAATGCAAGTTCTACATAATTACATGTCATAATAAAATCCTTGTGAATCAGTTTGCGGTTATCCAAATTTAGAAAAAAAAAGCATTAGGTTTTATTAGCAAGTTAAAATTTAATCTTGTTCTGGGATTTCATAAATGGTGATTCTAAATTTGAAATGAGCTATCTAAAATAACCATTTTCTTCATTTCTTTTTAAGAGGGAGAAGCACAGGTGGGCATGCCCTGCAATGACCAAGCCTTCCCTTGGGTTGCCCACATCCCCTATGGAGGCCTGGGCTTCAGCCTCCACTTCTCTGCCTGTATCAGCTCCTGGATGCTGTGCACTCCTGAAGGCAGCCGGTGGTGGCTCAACCGCTTGAACCTCTGCTACCCTCCTGGGTGACCCTGGCTGAGTTCCATGCTCTAGGTTTTGTCTGACCCACACCTCCTCCCCAACTCTCACTCCTACCTCCCTTTCCCCTCTCCACCCTTCACCCCCCCAACCCCCCATTTTTGTTGGAGATTGAACCTGGAGATGCAAAATATCTCTCTGCCTTTCTAATAAAGTGAATTTAAATATAAGGAAAGAAAATGGAAACATAGCATATGTAACATTTCTGGCATGTTGACAGGGAGTTTCAGCAGCTTTCTTTCTGTGTGAAATATTCTATTTAGATGACCTATTTCCTCTCAGCACAATACTTCCCAGAAGAGACAATAACAAACAAACAAAAACACTGTGACACACCTGGCTATGCTCTTACAGGTGTAAAACCAGAGTAACGTCTCTGAGAGTAGAGACTGGGACAGACCAAGTATTCAAATCATTGCGCGTCCTGGGAATGAAGGACTCATGTTTCCAAACACGTCAGGAAAATCCAAGAACTACAGATTGAAAACGGTGTCCTCTACTTGAACATCACTGACACAAATTCATCTCTGAATCAAACATACAATCCATATGGCTCCTGCTAACATACCTGCAAGAAATATCTCAGAATGATAATATTCCTGTTAAGCAGTTGAAAATTATTGGCAAATTACAAGGATGCATTTTTTAAATTCTTATCAGTTGCATTTCTCCTATAATTAAAATAACAGTATCTCATAATATCGTCCTGTTTTAAAATTCCACTGCTAAGTCAGTGTTTACAATTATCTAGATTTTTTATTACTCCCCTTTAGTTGCAGTGACATCTTGCAGCATTTGGTAAGAATATTAACTTTTGTTGGAATTTTTCAGTGGACTTTTAGTAAAATCGTTTCTTTTTTTATTGTGTGAAGTAGTAAGGAAAATTTTCGTGTGTGTGTGTATATATATATATATATATAGTATATATATATAGTTTTTTTTTTAGGAGGATGAATAATGACATTAAAGTAATTCTTCTGCCTTTAACTTTAAACTTGTAAAAAACGTTTGTAAAGGTGGCAGCTCCCAGATGATATTCCGGGGAAAATGGAAAACGCTAACATTCTCTTGTGGGTATTCTCAACTAAGGCGTGGAGTTGAAACCCTACTAGTGGCTTGCAGAGTTAGAAAAATCCCTATGGCTCTTCTTGCCTATGAAATACGGTACTGGGGTTGGCCCTGGTTTGGTCCACCTGCCAGCGGAGTTTAAAGTTTCCGTGGCTCAGAGAAGCACAATGAGTTGGATCAAACAACTTGAATGGGAAGAAGGACATTTCTGCCGCATCAAGGAAGCTTTAAACTCCTGCTAAACTATCTTCTAGCTTTTTATGCCTCTGAGCACGGGACCGTCCTCCTCTTTCACTGAGTGGAGTGCTTCTACCAATCCAGGATATTACGAAAGCTTGGAGACAAATGGCTCAGAAAATGAAACGACCCAGGAGTGTGGCCACATCATTCTGTGTCGCCTTGTGCCAGATGGGCAGACACTGAACTTCGCAGGGATGTGAATGCACACTTTTATGATGCGATTTTTTTTCCCTCTGAAAGAAAAATCAAATTTTATTTTTCATTTTTGATCTTGAGTTCTTGCTTTTCCACCCTCTCTGCAATATCAATAAACCTAACTTTGCGGTGAAGTGGCCAGAAAGGAGGAGAATGAGATCTCGACAGTCCTAGAGGAGAGTCGCACGGGTCTGGGAACTGCGGCTGCCACCCGCCGCGTGCCGTGAGGCTCCCGGGGCTGGCTGACTCTGCGCTGGCGGTCATGGAGTGGACGGTGCCCAGCGTCGGCCGAGGGTAGAGACCCGGGCGCCGGGAGGGGACTGCTGCTCTCGCCGCAGCTTCCCAAGGAGGCCGTGGCTGCACCGTCAGCTGCTGAATTTTCTTGTCCTCGTCCTCGGGAAGTCATGGAAGACTGCCCGCTGCCAGACCTTAGAGACATCGAGCTGAAGCTGGGACGCAAAGTCCCCGAGAGCCTGGTGCGCTCGCTCCGCGGGGAGGAGCCGGTTCCCTGGGAAAAAGACAGGGACCCCTGCGGGGGGAGCTGCAGCGAGGGCGGCGGCGGCTGCAGCACCAGTAACAGCAGTAGCTGCAGCTTCCCTGTCTCCTTGTCCTCGTCCTCCTCGTCCTCCCCAACCTCTGGCTCCCCGCGACGTGGCCACTCCAGCACCTTGGAAAGGCTGGAAACCAAGCTGCACCTCCTCAAGCAAGAGATGGTGAGTGTAAGGCGCTGGCCGCCGCAGACTGAGGGCCGGGGCGTGGGGAAAAAAACGGGTCGTTTGAAGGATGGGGCGAAAGAGTCACGGGTGGCAGAGGCTGCAAAGACGAGTGCAGGGCGCCTGGGAAACGTGGTGGAGGAACGGATTGGGGACGAGCGGCTAGAGGCTGCTGCGGCCAGGCTTATTTACCAGGGACTTTGCTCTGTCATGCTTTGCTACTCCAGCAGAGCCTGAGCTCTGTGTACTTTCCTGCTCGGACTCTGCCAGCCAGCAGCCTTTCCCGCGCCGCACTGGCCGAGGATGTGCAGTTACTGCACCCGTCTGGGGCCTGCTGTGCGCCCATCACACATAGATGGGTTCTAAAGGTGGCTCGGTCCAATGCTCTCACTGCAGGAAGACTTCTTGGTTTACCGGGAGGCGGCGCGCCCGGGTCCTGGCGGTTTTCCTTCCTAGCTCAGTCTTCCAACAACTGCCCCGCCTCCGGTGTCCCGCCCCTCCGCCCTCCTTGATGTACCAGCTGCAGCTGTTCCAAGGCCACTGTGGAAGAACCACAGCTGGTTGTGAAAACAATGGCTCTCTGGTCCTTGAAGTGCTTGTGGATGGCTTGTTTCGCTGTCTTGATCCAGGAAACAGGTGATCCCGGGGCTTAGGGATTTGCTAATTAGCGGACTCCTAACCCTTCCCTCAGCTCTCAGTCAGCAATTGTTCTCTGTTTGCCAATGTTAGGATAAGTACAGAACAACAGGATATGCACTGGATCTCACCTCGCAGTTGATCTGGATGCATCTAGACTAAGATATCTTTACTTACCATGGTTTCTTGGACAAGTCACTTACTCTGTTCGTGGACTTGTGTTTATACGGATGAACTGATTGCAGGACATCCTACTTCCCCTAAATCCTTCCAAGAAAGCAACCAGCTCAGGGAGGAGCAAAGCTGGAACAGCAGGCCTGCCTCCTGCAGGACGGTGAGACCTTCATTCAAAAGGTCTGTTCCACTTGGGATTTGCATTGAAAAGAAGTTTCACCAGCTCCTCCAGTTCTGCAGCCTGGAGACTCAGCAAGGAATAAATTCCAAGCATGAAATAATCTTGACAAATATCTTAGTGCAAAAAGCCTGTCTTCCAAGGTCGTGTCCTATGTTCTGGACACTAAAATGGCACTCTAAGAAGCTCATTCAAGATTGTTAAAGTTCTGTCTGCCTAAGAACTTTGATATTTGTGTCTCAAGTATTCATTTTCTTGCAACTTGGTGTGTTCCAGGTGTTGACAACTAATTTATTTGTATATGTGTATATATATATATATACACACAAATAAGTTATATATACAGATAGGCATATATATACTCACACATACATGAAAGTGTTTTAAAATAAGTGTGGAAAACAACATTTAAGGCAATGCATTTAAATTTTTTAAGTTACTCCTCTGTATGTGTACCAGTACCCACATGTATGTTATACATTCATTCACTATGTTGACAGCAAATGATTTCATTACTATACTCACATTTTGCTAATTGCATATACACATAAGGTTATATATAAATATATTACTCATTTAATAAGTGTTTATTAAACATTTGCTATATCCTGATAATTAAATAGGTGCTAGAAATACAAAATAAAAAAAAAATGGAAGCCCAGTTACTAAAGACACTCAAATCTTATCTGTCTTTAATTATTTGTGCCATAGGAATGTAAATGTATGCTTCATGGGATAAAGAAAAACATCTGATTGTCTTCAAATAAGGATAACTTCTAGATATTTGTTTCTTTTTAAAAAAAAATACCTAATTATTTTTATTTGAAAGACAAATTTACAAAAAAAAAAAAGGTTAAGACAGTAAGAAAGGTCTTCACTCTACTGGTTCACCCCAAAATGGCTACAATGGCCAGAGCCACCCCACATGAGGAAAGAGAGAAATATATCCATGCACTCTCATTCACTCCAGAAATAACTCCATCATTCTTCCTCTCCAAGAGATGCTGTACCTTTGTGCTTACGCCCTTCATTCAGTTTTCCTTCACTCTTATCTAGAAGCATTAACAGACCTGTAAGAAAAGTTGTGAAAGAGGTAAGTTATAAAAGGGATTAAAGAATGGAAAGAAGCTGGTTTTGTGGCCAAGCTTCTTAATGCTGAATAAAAATACAAAACCCAAGGATGACGTCACCCTCCCAATGTCCATTGGCTCCATTCTCTGAGATCTTTTGGCGTCATTGTTGGTTTGGGGTAGTTGTCCAGTTAGTTCCATTCTTCTTCTGCTGTAGTACCAAATGAGCTGCCATATTCTCCTCTTGCCACAGGGCCTGCCTGTGTCCACTGCTCTGCCTATTTCACTAAGTAGGAGTTGGCAGCATTTCAGAACCATCCACACCACTTGGGCAGAATCCTCGAGATATGTACACATTGAGACTCTGGGTTGATATGGGGTGGCGGTTCCTCATCACTGGATACGGGAACATGTGGAAAGTCATGAGTGGTTCCCCCTTTGTCTTTCCCTTCCCTCAGAAACAACAAGAAGAAATAGCAAATTTGGAAGCAATGAGTACACCCAATTTCCCCTAAACCTCCATCTTTTCCACCCTGAACCACCATGTAATCATTATTAAAAAATAACATTTATTCAAAAAATGCAAAAATCACCATTTGTAACAAACAGTATGGGAGGAAAACCATTGGAAAAGGGAATTTGCAAAGATACATTTGAAACTATAGTCCAATCCAAAGTGGCTCTCAGGATGTTTTGAGGAGGGAACAAATTAGAGATGAAGAAAATTGGTAATACAATGAGCAAATGCAGAGATGCAATATGGAATTCATAATAAAATTGGAAATAAATGTCAAGATTCCAAAATAAACTCTGTCAGTAACATTTGTGCAGGATATTTGACGTCTGTCATATCACTTGCTCCTGAAGTCAGACAGAGAAGAAGGAGGTATTCTCATCTGTGCTTTTAATGTGATTATTGTAGTTTATATACAATCTGTGAAGTAGAGCAAGGCAAACCAACCCATTAGTGAACAACCCTATAGCTGATTCTTTCTCCACGACAGTGAGTAGTCCAAGAATTTTCCTTCATACTTCAGTAAAGCTTTGTAAATCTGTGGACTGTCAGCAACTTCACAGTGGCACGTGACTTAGAAAAAGGATGTGACAAGGAAGCTGCACACACAGAATCAGCCAAATCATCAATGCACTAGTCGGCCATGGGAAATTTGAGCCAAATGGCTGCTTTCAAAAAGATCAACGTTCAATCTGTTGTGGCTCAGTGGGCTGAGCATCTGCTTGCAACAGTGTCCTTCCATACCAGAGTGACAGTTTGAGTGCCACCTACTCCACTTCAAAAGCAACTCCCTACTAATGCACCTGGGAAAGCAGCAGAAAAATAACCCAATAACTTGGATTCCTGCTACCTTTATGGAAGCTGGAATGCAATTACTGGATTCTGGCTTCAGCTAGGCCAGACCTGGCTGTTGTAGCCACTGGGTAGTGAAGCAGGGAATGAACCCCCTTCTGTCTTTCTGTCCCCCATGCTTTCTCTGTCACTGCATCATTCATATGAGTAGATATTTAAAATTATATAAATGTCAGTCTTCAGAGCCCCTGAGTTTGGAGTTTCCATTTGCTGATTACTTAAAGACCCCCTTTGAAAAAATGCCATAGAATAAAACATAAATATTTATAACTAAATATTTCTATGAGATTTAAAGTATCTCATAATGCCTGAAATTTCTAGTAAAGATAAAAAAAAACTCTGCCCAAATCTATGCTTAAACATCTAGCACTAAATTTTATGTTCTGCATTTTACTTCTCAGTTAAAGATTTTGGGTGCTATTGCAATATGACCATGTCATAGTTTGAGGGTGAAAAGCATTTGCATTATTTTACTCTGGAAGAATTCTTAAATACATATGCTTATGGAAGTCATCACTAAGGAACAGGAACCTGAAATGAAATGGTGTGTAATGAAGGTCCCATATTTGCTTTTTAAATAACTGCTATGCAAAAAGTATACCTTATGCTATCTGTTGATGCCCATGTTGGATTTGAGACCGTTCTCTTTGATATAGAGTAGGTTTAGCAATGTAAGTGAATCAAATGTATTTAGGAGAACAGACTTAAAAATTTGTGTCCTGATTTCCATTTTGTGGGCAATAGTTTGCATATCTGCTTAGTAAAGGAGAACCATAACAATCAGAAGCTAGCTACCTATCCTTTCTTTCCAACTGACGCATTCAAATTCTGTGCCTGCTGCCTCAACATCTGTTTTAAGAAAGTTTTCTAATCAAGACACAGGAATGGACACAAACATAGATACAGACAAACTGAGAAACAGTGCAACACCAATCAAAATCCCCAACTTCTTGAGAATGGTAGATTTATACTTGCTTTTTTATTGATATTTTCTCTCACTGCTCTATTCCATATCCTCCTTCTTCTAAAAGAAAAAAAAAAGGCTTGCTGTTATAATGAAAAGGAGAACCCTGTTTTAAACTCTCTGTAAAAGAGAAAATGTCATTAAATTAACTTCATAATTGCTCTGGACATGCTTCAAAGAAGGCAAGGTGATTTCCAGCAGGCAGTTACCCTCAGGTGGATGGCTGAGAAGCTGGAATGGGGAAGGAATATACCTTGATGAGCTCACGAGATAACTGAAAAGATAACAGGGGAATGCGATTTGGGCAGAGAAGGATTGCAACCCGGCATGTCAGCAGGTGTGTGATGTCTTGCAGAGATCAGAAATACGATTGAGATGATCGCACAGAACTCAGGAGAGTTCTCAAGGAAATAGGCTCCGTACTGGGATTAAAAGTGCTGGTAACTATACAAATTACGGGTTTACTGTTATAAAGACGTCAAGATCAGGCAATCTGATTTCTAACTTATTCTATCATTTTGTCCATAGCCTATTAATACAGTCTATTCATCTAGCAAAGAAATGTTGCTGCAACCGAATCCACATGACGTGGCTGACAGATTGACAGCAGAG